CTCTCTCTCTCTCTCTCTCTCTCTCTCTCTCTCTCTCTCTCTCTCTCTCTCTCTCTCTCTCTCTCTCTCTCTCTCTCCCCCCCCCCTCTCTTTCTCTACATCGAATACATGCTATACTTTCCATTGATTCGATGTAGAATTAACCGAAAGACAATAGAATTGTATAGAAATATTTCCCCATTGAAAAGAATCGTGATAAGATCGAAGATGACAAAAATATCGACCAATAATTGACATCAATTACTTATCGCCGCATCGACATCAAATTGATTATCTTCAGCTGGGTTGTTAATCTCAAAAATATAACAATTTTTATTGCATTGAGAGATTGAAATGGCATTTGTTATGATCTATCTCCTTTAATGTAAAAGGAGAAGTGGTTATTTGTGTACGAGAGGTATTTGATTTATATATAGAGGTATAGATTTAATTTTTATGTTATTATATTTTATAAAATACGAGATTATTTGAATATGGAACACCATTTATCCGGCTCTAAAATATTTATTTATAGAATGGACAAGCGTTATCCGAGAACTTGTATCCGCGCGTTACGTAATGTTTGCAATTCTTAAATTCTTAAATTCTTCTTCTCTCAAGAACGGAATGCATGCAATTACACGGTACGAACTTAACATCCTCCACTGATATAGCACATTTATAAAAATACGGTTTCCTAAATTATGGTATATTAAATTACGTACTATGGGATTTATCAAGACTCTTTTATTTATATGTTTTATACGTATACAATGCAATGTATGTGTGTAAAACTTATAAATAAAAGTTAATCTCGTATTTTATTAACGTATAATAAAATAGGGTGATTAAATTTCGATTACATTTTACAAACCCTTTCTTTTGTTGCTAACAGTAAAATTTGTTCAATGTCACAATGCTAATAATGTCTCTTGTAAAATTTGAAAGAGATAATTTAACTAGTTTTTTTTCGAAAAGGAGGCAAATTTAATTGTACCCCTGAATCTGGTCCACATGGAGACCAAGTTTGATATTGTATCATATACATGATATGATAGGTCAGTAGCGGAATATTTTGGTCTTCAAATACTTGACAGACAAGAATTTACACAAAAAAGTAGCTGGATGTTTAGTACTTCACTATTTTTAAGACATAAATAAAGCGGCTGATTCGCATTTGGGCCTTGGTCCGTTTGCAGCAAATAGTGGGCGTTTACTATATGTCTAACAAATATGAAATTTCAGCATCAACCGCGTTTGTTTCGCATTAAACAGAATCAGAAGATTTGAAAATTTGAAATTTTTTATCTTCTCGCGACTTTCTGTAAAATTTCGTAAAAATACTTGCAGTGAATTAAAAGCAAAAATAGTGAGACTTCTCACTTTCGAAAGATGCTTCGACCAAGCCGTTACATTTATCGTCACTTACACGCTTTACTGTCTTTTTTAGCTGAGCAAAAATAAAAGATGCTTTTTATAATAGAGACAATATAGAACAAAGTTATTAACGTACGAAAGACAAAATTTAAGTAAACTGTTTAAAAATGTTGCTTATTAATGACACCACAAATTTTTATCCGAATTTGGATCACGTACCACATATTTGATCACACTACCTTATATAGTATATCAGACAGTTCACCATAATGTTACAATGTTTCATAAGGTTTTATTTAAAATTTGTACCAATAGTTTCTAGCTGAATATTAATTTCAATAGGTCAGAGTGTTAATCAATAATAATCGACCCACAGACCTGTAACTTGCTCCTTTTCAACTTTAGTCGTTTATTTCACTTAAATGCTCACTTCACTGCACCGTTTCGTAAAGCCAGCTGCGAACTGATATACGCAGAACAGAAGTGACAAGCTTTATATCTACATCAGTCTTCCATACTCTTTTATACTCTCGAATGAAATTGCGGGTCTCCGTATGGTTTCGTTCGACACTGCTAATAACAACCGTCACGAACACGACATCTAATGAGTTGCTTGGTCACCATTTATACCATTAATCTTCCCGATATATTCTGAGGCTTGAATAACTGAGACTTACGTCGATTTATGCTTCAATAAAACAATAGGCACTAACCTAATCGAGATAACAGGGCGATGGTAAGACGATAGCACCCGTACGATCGTGAACTGAATGCAACGCGACGTGCAGCTAGAAGTGTATTTATCATCCTGATATTGAGACAAGAGAGGGGTTTATTTCGTTAAGAACCGACGAACGCCGATGGAAAAAAGTACGCGTGCGCGTGCACTCACACTTACAGACAGTGGGTACGCAATATGTTGTAATATTAAGAATGAAAGATTTCCGAAGAATGCTGCATGAAATTCATCAGATTCTGAGAATGTACGATTTTCAAAATTAATTCAGGCATTATTCCTCGTCGTCCATAATGCCCCGTCGTCCTAAACTTGAATAATTTTTCTGAACGGCGAGAATATAGTGGAATTATTCACGAAGGTCGTCTATCATAAGCGTTATCTCGGGATATGAAATTCATATGTGATATTTAAGGGGAAAAAATCTTCGCGAGATTTACTCTGCGTCAACATACGCATTGTTCTTTTATTGAAAAGATGAAGCGAAACAATGCTTCATTAACGTACTGATAAGTAAAGTGGCAAATGCTGGAAGCATTTAATAATTGCTTATTATATTTTTGCTCGCATGTGCATAACTTATTGTCTTCTCGTCATTGTCTTCTTAAAATATTTATTCTTCTGTTAGATTTTACAACTAGCTAGGCTAAGTAAAGCCGATATTTATAGTCGGGTCTTATATTCAAGACCGTCTTGAATTTATCTAAAGATGCTGGACGAAACATCTCATTGGCTACGGAGTATCTAAAGATGATCTTGAGACAGTCTTGAATATAAAATCTGACTATGGATACTGGCCTTCGAGTATAAACTGTATCTACTAATTGCATAAATTATAAAAATCCTTTTGTATAATTTTTTTATTTCCCATACAGTAACTACTTTTGTGATAACGTATATCTCTAATATTTTTCTACTCCATTTGTTTCACTGTACTGTTAGGTATTGTAGCTCAGATGTTAATAAAATGTTGATATAATTTTGATATTTCTAATTTTATGATGATTTGCGCGAAAGTATGATTTAAGTAAATTTAGGGCCGCGACATAAAAGAAGTAATAAAAAAAGTCTATAACATGTTGACGACCGTGAGAATTTCTGATATGTAATTGCGTGAAGCACGCATGCTACTAATGAACAGTTTGCGTACTCAGAATGTAATATGATGTAACATGATGTAAGAAAAAATGTAACATGATGTAATATAATGCAAAAAAGACAAATTACGAAAGTAAATTACGAGAAAAAGAAGATAATCTAAAATATTTCTGTAATCTTTCTAATCGAAAATCATGTACGGCCAAATTGCTCTTCCACTTAACGATAACGATACTAATCTAAGAACGATAACAATAATAATTTAAATATTTAAACATTTATATAAAATATGCTTAAGCATATTTAACTTACTGATACAGATACAATTTGATACTTGATTAGTAACATAAGAAAGGAAATTGCAGTCTGTAACATTAATTACTTATTTGCACGCAAATGATGAGTAAGCAAACGTTTCTTATTCCATATACCACGCAATCTCTAGACTCTTTATGTAACAGACGACATTTTGTCTTCCCACAATTTAAACACGTTGTTTCCCTGTTTAGGAAGTTATTTGACGTAATTATAAAATTGCACAGTGAACATTACAACATCCGTGCAAGTCATTTTCGCCTGTGATTAGTCTCTGTTTCGGTTAAAGTTCCTTTATTTGCTGGCGTAATCGACATGGCAATGAAGATACAGAGTTTTATCATGATGCAATCATTTATCCTCTATATCTAGCAACTCTTCGTTCAGATAAAAAAATATTTAATCTGATATTGCACATTGCTGTGAAAGAAGATATATGACATATGGCGTAACGTCCGCCAATATTTCGTATATTTTTGTAACAATTGTATAAGATTCTTAAGTTATAATTTTAATATTGAGTAATAATAAAACTATGAAATAATAACAAGTATAGAAACTATATTTTATTTTAAAAGCTAGAGAAAAAAATTTCTTGACATATAATGCCATATTTTTTGAATATTTTGTATAAAATAGGTATATAAAAAAATATGTTATTGGATATTATCCAAAATGATAGCGGAAATAAATATTGAATTAGATAGGTATTAGATAGGTATTAGAAATATTTTTATGCCAAATTTGAATATCATACTATGATATTTTAAGGTAATATTTCTGACAGACTTAATAATCTGGCTCGGTGTAAATTATAAAATTAGTTTTGATGCGATTATGAATACTATACCTTTCAGTTCGTCAATTACGTATTCCGGAAATGTCATTTAAATTGTAGGATCGCGAGTCAGGAAAGAATAAGAGTTCGTCTAGCACCGGCCCGATTTATTCCAATTGTAAGTCTTTTACACTAGACTAGCTTTCGCACGTCTGTACGCGTCCGAGTTAGACTATCAAGTCTCGTGTTCGGATCAGACGCTATCCAGAATCGGTTGGCTTGGTTAGTTCAAAGGACAAGGTGTCCTCGAGGCACATCTCGCAAACTTTACAAAACATTACTTCCAAACTCGGAAAAATTAAGAAACATTATCATTAACCGATTCGCCGTCCTTGTTTTCGTGATCTGTTCTTGTTTTGTGCTATGTCTATTTATTTGCGCTTTGCGGTTTATTCGCGCATGTGTGCGTCTATGTATACTTGACAAGTGATATCACTACAACCTGCAAAAGAGTGCGAGAATAGATAATTGTGATAACACTATCAGTATCTAACATGTATCCTAAATACACAATTGCTCCAATATACAACACGTGGCGACTATCATATCGCATAGATATCTGTTTGAACTTGTATTGATCGAGTCTGGTTTACTAGAAGTCTCTATAAAAAAATAAGTTTATTTTTCAGCTCATATTTTACGTGATATTTGTGTAAATATATTTTAACTATGTGATTTTTAATTGTTACATTTTTATATGTTTTGTTATATTGATAAAGAAGGTTTCTTTTTCGTTTAGTAAAAATTTATGATAATATAATACAATCGATGATAAAAATACATCAGATTTATTATCAAATGTGATACAATGGTTAATGGTTTATTTATATCTTATTAATGTTAATACTAAATAAGTTGGTATAAATCACAAATGAGAGATTTTGTATTTCTTAAAAGAATTACAGATCTCTTATTGAGGAAGCACGCGGTATAGATTATATCAAACCTTGAATTAATGAACTTTGAACCGTCTGGTCTAGTTATCAGTCGCGAGAGGTATAATTAATAAATTCTTTTAAATTATATCGGTGATATTGAGTTCTGTAACGGAACTCTGTCAGCAGTTATTCCAGAATAAATGTTAATTTGTCAAACATCCATGCTAAAGCGTGCGGTTGGACGAAATTCCTGAACGCGTTTCGTAAGTCCGATCGATGACGATGAATTTTTAACGGTTTAATTAATTCTCGGGTAAAGCCGATAAGTATCACTATTCGATTGAATCGTTAATGGTCACGACTAAAATTATATACTCGCGCGCAATTCTGAAGTATCGGCGCGCTGTATTCCGTGCGATTTATTTATATGAACCGATTAAACGAAATGGACCACTCGTCGGTAGTTTTCAATTACATTATTCAGCGATCACGCGCGCTGCGCGAAACACATCGGCCGGGCGTAGCTGTCCAAAATTCTAATTGCGTGCAATATTGCACGCGCGTTTATACGTGTGAGCGGAATAGGAAAATGATAGGAATTTCAGGCATGTTTGCGCAAATTAGAAATTGCGACGTGCAGCTGCGCCTATTAAGCTTTTTCATTACAACTTAAAGTCCCAATATATCACGTTTAACAATTGTAAGTTTTTAATACCGATCAATACGACCTCTAAATTAACGGTAATTTTTAATTCAACAATTTTACAGACTGAAAATTAACACGCTAGCACTTGTGTTGAGAAATTATATTTCGCATGATTACATAATATTGCAACATTTACGCGTGGTTTCGCAAATTTTATCAATATCGTGTAATATATTTTTAATAAACGTTAATTAACAAAGTTGCAATATATAAAGGATAGGCGTAAATTAAAAATTATAAAAGCGAAATGAAATACAGACGTTAAAAATGTAGGCGTGAACATTAATCATAATCTCGAATATAATACAATTCACCTGTCAACCATCTTGTACGTTCATACGTTTGTCCTTCACCGTGATAGAGACAATTTATATCTCCTTGGCAGAGACCAGTATCATTAGTTAGAAATACGTTACAGCACGTGTTACAAGGTCTGTAGTTATTCAGTACGTTGCGTCATTGAAAAATCAAGTGCAGTCGTTTCACGTGGGCTTGCAAGTTGATTTGTCTAACGATTACTTGACTGTCTGTGATAAACTAATGATACTGTTCTCAGCCAAGGAGATATAAATCGTCTCCATCACGGCGAAGGACAAATGTATGAACGTACAAAATGGTTTATAGTTGGATTGCATTCGTCCGCAGACTTTTCAATGATGTCTGAATTGCGATCACACTCACTAGTGTTTATGGTATTTATTCTTCTTGTTAATAAGCTAATGAAAAATTACTGATTGAGTTTCCTTAGAAATAGAGACAAGAATCGCGACGATACTAGTGCAGTTTCTGTGATGATTGGTCGCAGAGTCTCGAAATGTGACTCTTTCGTTAAAATAAGTTTAAACGTGTTATGAAGATCTACGTTTTATTAAATTTAAAATAAGGGATTCTAATTTTTATTTAACAATTCCATTGCAAAATGAACGACTACCCAGGTATAATTTAAGTTGCAATACTTGCGCAACGAGAGATAGTATATGCTTATGAAGAGAGATAATATATAGAGATAATATATAGAAGACTCAT